TACCCTCTCCCTACTGACAATCGTTTGTGATACTTCTTCCCCTTCAACCAGTTATGATACCCTCTCCCTACTGACAATCGTTTGTGATACTTCTTCCCCTTCAACCAGTTATGATACCCTCTCCCTACTGACAATCGTTTGTGATACTTCTTCCCCTTCAACCAGTTATGATACCCTCTCCCTACTGACAATCGTGTGTGATACTTCTTCCCCTTCAACCAGTTATGATACCCTCTCCCTACTGACAATCGTGTGTGATACTTCTTCCCCTTCAACCAGTTATGATACCCTCTCCCTACTGACAATCGTGTGTGATACTTCTTCCCCTTCAACCAGTTATGATACCCTCTCCCTACTGACAATCGTGTGTGATACTTCTTCCCCTTCAACCAGTTATGATACCCTCTCCCTACTGACAATCGTGTGTGATACTTCTTCCCCTTCAACCAGTTATGATACCCTCTCCCTACTGACAATCGTGTGTGATACTTCTTCCCCTTCAACCAGTTATGATACCCTCTCCCTACTGACAATCGTGTGTGATACTTCTTCCCCTTCAACCAGTTATGATACCCTCTCCCTACTGACAATCGTGTGTGATACTTCTTCCCCTTCAACCAGTTATGATACCCCTCCCCTAACTGACAATCGTTTGTGATACTTCTTCCCCTTCAACCAGTTATGATACCCTCTCCCTACTGACAATCGTTTGTGATACTTCTTCCCCTTCAACCAGTTATGATACCCTCTCCTTACTGACAATCGTTTGTGATACTTCTTCCCCTTCAACCAGTTATGATACCCTCTCCCTACTGACAATCGTTTGTGATACTTCTTCCCCTTCAACCAGTTATGATACCCCTCCCCTTACTGACAATCGTTTGTGATACTTCTTCCCCTTCAACCAGTTATGATACCCTCTCCCTACTGACAATCGTTTGTGATACTTCTTCCCCTTCAACCAGTTATGATACCCTCTCCCTACTGACAATCGTTTGTGATACTTCTTCCCCTTCAACCAGTTATGATACCCTCTCCCTACTGACAATCGTTTGTGATACTTCTTCCCCTTCAACCAGTTATGATACCCTCTCCCTACTGACAATCGTTTGTGATACTTCTTCCCCTTCAACCAGTTATGATACCCTCTCCCTACTGACAATCGTGTGTGATACTTCTTCCCCTTCAACCAGTTATGATACCCTCTCCCTACTGACAATCGTTTGTGATACTTCTTCCCCTTCAACCAGTTATGATACCCTCTCCCTACTGACAATCGTGTGTGATACTTCTTCCCCTTCAACCAGTTATGATACCCTCTCCCTACTGACAATCGTTTGTGATACTTCTTCCCCTTCAACCAGTTATGATACCCTCTCCCTACTGACAATCGTTTGTGATACTTCTTCCCCTTCAACCAGTTATGATACCCTCTCCCTACTGACAATCGTTTGTGATACTTCTTCCCCTTCAACCAGTTATGATACCCTCTCCCTACTGACAATCGTTTGTGATACTTCTTCCCCTTCAACCAGTTATGATACCCTCTCCCTACTGACAATCGTTTGTGATACTTCTTCCCCTTCAACCAGTTATGATACCCTCTCCCTACTGACAATCGTTTGTGATACTTCTTCCCCTTCAACCAGTTATGATACCCTCTCCCTACTGACAATCGTTTGTGATACTTCTTCCCCTTCAACCAGTTATGATACCCTCTCCCTACTGACAATCGTTTGTGATACTTCTTCCCCTTCAACCAGTTATGATACCCTCTCCCTACTGACAATCGTTTGTGATACTTCTTCCCCTTCAACCAGTTATGATACCCTCTCCCTACTGACAATCGTTTGTGATACTTCTTCCCCTTCAACCAGTTATGATACCCTCTCCCTACTGACAATCGTTTGTGATACTTCTTCCCCTTCAACCAGTTATGATACCCTCTCCCTACTGACAATCGTTTGTGATACTTCTTCCCCTTCAACCAGTTATGATACCCTCTCCCTACTGACAATCGTTTGTGATACTTCTTCCCCTTCAACCAGTTATGATACCCTCTCCCTACTGACAATCGTGTGTGATACTTCTTCCCCTTCAACCAGTTATGATACCCTCTCCCTACTGACAATCGTGTGTGATACTTCTTCCCCTTCAACCAGTTATGATACCCTCTCCCTACTGACAATCGTGTGTGATACTTCTTCCCCTTCAACCAGTTATGATACCCTCTCCCTACTGACAATCGTGTGTGATACTTCTTCCCCTTCAACCAGTTATGATACCCTCTCCCTACTGACAATCGTGTGTGATACTTCTTCCCCTTCAACCAGTTATGATACCCTCTCCCTACTGACAATCGTGTGTGATACTTCTTCCCCTTCAACCAGTTATGATACCCTCTCCCTACTGACAATCGTGTGTGATACTTCTTCCCCTTCAACCAGTTATGATACCCTCTCCCTACTGACAATCGTGTGTGATACTTCTTCCCCTTCAACCAGTTATGATACCCCTCCCCTAACTGACAATCGTTTGTGATACTTCTTCCCCTTCAACCAGTTATGATACCCTCTCCCTACTGACAATCGTTTGTGATACTTCTTCCCCTTCAACCAGTTATGATACCCTCTCCCTACTGACAATCGTGTGTGATACTTCTTCCCCTTCAACCAGTTATGATACCCTCTCCCTACTGACAATCGTGTGTGATACTTCTTCCCCTTCAACCAGTTATGATACCCTCTCCCTACTGACAATCGTGTGTGATACTTCTTCCCCTTCAACCAGTTATGATACCCTCTCCCTACTGACAATCGTGTGTGATACTTCTTCCCCTTCAACCAGTTATGATACCCTCTCCCTACTGACAATCGTGTGTGATACTTCTTCCCCTTCAACCAGTTATGATACCCTCTCCCTACTGACAATCGTGTGTGATACTTCTTCCCCTTCAACCAGTTATGATACCCTCTCCCTACTGACAATCGTGTGTGATACTTCTTCCCCTTCAACCAGTTATGATACCCTCTCCCTACTGACAATCGTGTGTGATACTTCTTCCCCTTCAACCAGTTATGATACCCTCTCCCTACTGACAATCGTGTGTGATACTTCTTCCCCTTCAACCAGTTATGATAGCCCCTCCCTACTGACAATCGTTTGTGATACTTCTTCCCCTTCAACCAGTTATGATACCCTCTCCCTACTGACAATCGTTTGTGATACTTCTTCCCCTTCAACCAGTTATGATACCCTCTCCCTACTGACAATCGTGTGTGATACTTCTTCCCCTTCAACCAGTTATGATACCCTCTCCCTACTGACAATCGTTTGTGATACTTCTTCCCCTTCAACCAGTTATGATACCCCTCCCCTTACTGACAATCGTTTGTGATACTTCTTCCCCTTCAACCAGTTATGATACCCTCTCCCTACTGACAATCGTGTGTGATACTTCTTCCCCTTCAACCAGTTATGATACCCTCTCCCTACTGACAATCGTTTGTGATACTTCTTCCCCTTCAACCAGTTATGATACCCTCTCCCTACTGACAATCGTTTGTGATACTTCTTCCCCTTCAACCAGTTATGATACCCTCTCCCTACTGACAATCGTTTGTGATACTTCTTCCCCTTCAACCAGTTATGATACCCCTCCCCTTACTGACAATCGTTTGTGATACTTCTTCCCCTTTAACCAGTTATGATACCCCTCCCTTACTGACAATCGTTTGTGATACTTCTTCCCCTTCAACCAGTTATGATACCCTCTCCCTACTGACAATCGTGTGTGATACTTCTTCCCCTTCAACCAGTTATGATACCCTCTCCCTACTGACAATCGTTTGTGATACTTCTTCCCCTTCAACCAGTTATGATACCCCTCCCCTTACTGACAATCGTTTGTGATACTTCTTCCCCTTTAACCAGTTATGATACCCTCTCCTTACTGACAATCGTGTGTGATACCTCTTCCCCTTTAACCAGTTATGATACCCCTCCCCCTACTGACAATCGTTTGTGATACTTCTTCCCCTTCAACCAGTCATGATACCCCTTCCTTACTGACAATCATTTGTGATACCCCTCCCTTACTGACAATCGTTTGTGATACCCCTCCATTACTGACAATCGTTTGTGATACTTCTTCCTCTTCAACCAGTTATGATACCCCTCCCTTACTGACAATCGTTTGTGATACCCCGCCCCAGCAACCATTTGAGATAACCGTAACTCTCCGCCCTCTCTTTTGTCTTTGATTGCCTCATTAGGACTTGATGAGCGGACATTTCACTACTCGGATTAGCTAAATGATCCGATCTGATTTCCCCATTAGTGATAAAGGACGTCTAATTTGTGGTGGTACATCATACAAAAACGTATAATCATAAAGACTGAAGTCTGTCAATAAATCTTAATGTTCCGTGTAAGAGAAGAAGAAAAGTTAAGGACCCAGACAGTATGCACATCTTAACAAGCTCCCTCTCCGGGCTCTGAAGGACACTTCCAATAACGTGTCGGCATCAAACAAATACACGACTACTTATAATCCGGCTTTGTAAGGGAATCAGTAACGGTCCTACGTCTCTGGTAATTTGAAATATAAGGAAATCAGTAACGGTCATCATATTGATCGTCAGTAAAATATAAGGTATATATTATCTTATAAAGGCTCTCGGTTTACCGTGCATTCTATCCGAGTGAAACGTTCCAAATCAGTACACGACCAATGATTTGTTTTTTGTTTGTGTGCAAAAGGAATGATAAAATACAGCGGCCTGGCCGACATTCGACCTCTAGGACCTCCTATCTCCAGACAGACGCGGTCAAAGTTCAATAATGAAAAGAAAAGAAAAAAAGCAAATCCATCGTCACTGAAGAAGGGTATATTGCCCGAAATATTCAACGGTTGGCAATTTCCAGTTTTGGCTATTTAGTCTGTGACGTCATAATGGATATGTGATTATGACGTCATTAAGCCAACATATCTATGACGTCACAACTGAGTTTTGGTGTTGCTGGGCGAATCATTAATCAGTCAATAAAAGAGTCGGCACAATGGACGATGAAGTAGCTGAGCTCAAGAAGAGCGGGTATGCCCTCGGCGCTTTGCTGGGGGAGGGCTCCTACGCTAAAGTCAAGAGCGCATTTTCTTCAAAACTCAATGGCAGGGTCGCAGTGAAAATCATCAACAGGAAAAAGGCGCCTAAAGACTTCCGGGAAAAGTTCCTTCCTCGAGAATTAGACATCATCAAATGGATCGATCATCCGAACGTGGTGAAATTGTATGAAATTATAGAATTCAACGGAAAGGTATGATTTTCGTTCTAAATATTCTCGCTCTCTGCCGTCACCCTGACTGGATTTATGATCGGATAGCCGTCATATATAACAATGCGTGTGTTTATTACGTGCCGTGTGTTAAAGCAGTATATAACACCGGCAGCTCCATTTTACGACAGAACAACAAGATGAAGAGAAAACTCCCCCACATCGAGAAAAAATGTTGTTTACATAGTAAACTGAACATTTTGACGGTAATACTGTTACTACGTTTTTATATAAATGCAGCAGTTACCGGAATACTACAGCACCTGATTAATGACACCGATGATATTTAACAAGTAAATAATAATTACCGATTCTCTTTAGTCGTAATTAGATGCAATTTCTAAATCAATCAACATATTCCTATTATTATACAAATCACTTGTCAGACCTCATATTGCGTACTGCTCCACAATATGGTCACCCCTCCTATAAAGACTCGAGCTCACAATTACTGGAAATCATACAACGACTGGCAACTAAACGGTTAATTACATAGACTTACCTAACCCAGATCGACTAAAACCACTAGGACTTCCCACACCTGAATATAGAAGACTAGGGGCTGATACGATTCATGTGTACACAATTCTGAGTGGTGTGGATGATGCAGACAAGTCTAAATTATTTACTGAATCCACCTATCCGGCAACTAGAGGTCACCAGCTAAAGGTCTTTAAGAAACAACGCCGCTTAAACACCACCAAGAACATTGTCAGCAATCGTGTAGTTACTAATAGGAACAATCTATCAGCTGTAGTGGTTAATGCCGAAAGTTTAAATAGTTTTAAAAATAGGTTAAACGTGCACTGGAAAGATCATGCACACACATTTTATCCGTTCTTTTAATCTACGATGTGTAAATATTTATTAATACTATTGCGACAATTAGACTTCACTAGACGTCTAGATATATTTAATCTCATACAATGTATGCCATTCTTCGCGCACTCCATCATCAACCAATTAATTAACGAAATGCAGATAAATAACATCATTACATGTACCAGCCACAGGCTTTCCATTGATGTATTACCTATGAGAAATCTATGAGAATCCATCGAAGTATCCCCAAACTCTCTTTCGCACGAGCCATGACGTAAACGCTGCGCGGTAGTCGTCAACCCCTAAATCCACCCCATCCTCCCCGAACTCCATCCCACCCACAAGTCACTCATTCCCGTTGTATCAAAACCGGAACCGATAGATACAGATTCCCATCCACCTCTACTCCACTTCGCCCACACGTCACTCCATCCCCTAACTTAACCCCATCCAACCTAACTCCTCCCCATCTCCTCCCCATCCGCCCCTTACTCCCCTCCACCCACACATCACTCCACCCCTTTACTCAATCCCATCCACCCTTAACTCGCCCCAACCCCACCCGTCACTCTCCCCCCCCCCTCCCCTAATTCAATCCCATCAAACCTTCACGTCATCCAACACGTCACTCCACCCCACCATTCATCCTCCTTACCCTCCCATAACTCCATCCCACCACCCTACCCAAATCATACATCGATATTTTGGTATTTACACGACAGGTGACGTTCAGTAGACAGGCGACTTCGGTAGTCAGGTGACGTTCAGTAGACAGATGACTTCAGTAGACAGGCGACTTCGGTAGACAGGTGACGTTCAGTAGACAGGTGACTTCGGTAGACAGCTTCGGTAGACAGGCGACTTCGGTAGACAGATGACATCGGTAGACGGTGACTTCTATAGACAGATGACTTAATTATAAGTAGACAGGGGACTTCGGTAGACAGGTGACGTTCAGTAGACATGTGACATCGGTAGACAGGCGGCTTCGGTAGACAGGGGACTTCGGGAGACAGGCGACTTCGGTAGACAGGTGACATCGGTAGACAGGTGACATCAGTAGACAGGCGACGTCGGTAGACAGATGACATCGGTAAACGGTGACTTCTATAGACAGATGACTTAATTATAAGTAGACAGGCGACTTCGGTAGACAGATGACATCGGTAGACGGTGGCTTCTATAGACAGATGACTTAATTATAAGGAGACAGGGGACTTCGGTAGAAAAGTGACGTTCGGTAGACAGGTGACATCGGTAGACAGGTGACATCGGTAGACAGGTGACTTCGGTAGACAGGTGACGTTCAGTAGACATGTGACATCGGGAGACAGGCGGCGTCGGTAGACAGGCGACTTCGGTAGACAGGCGACTTCGGTAGACAGATGACATCGGTAGACGGGGACTTCTATAGACAGATGACTTAATTATAAGTAGACAGGCGACTTCGGTAGACAGATGACATCGGTAGACGGGGACTTCTATAGACAGATGACTTAATTATAAGTAGACAGGCGACTTCGGTAGACAGGTGACGTTCAGTAGACATGTGACATCGGGAGACAGGCGGCGTCGGTAGACAGGCGACTTCGGTAGACAGGCGCCTTCGGTAGACAGGTGACATCGGTAGACAGGTGACTTCGGTAGACAGGCGACTTCGGTAGACAGGGGACATCGGTAGACAGGTGACATCAGTAGACAGGCGACGTCGGTAGACAGGTGACATCGGTAAACGGTGACTTCTATAGACAGATGACTTAATTATAAAGAGGCAGGGGACTTCGGTAGAAAAGTGACGTTCGGTAGACATGTGACATCGGTAGACAGGTGACTTCGGTAGACAGGTGACATCGGTAGACAGGTGACTTCGGTAGACAGGTGCCATCGGTAGACAGGTGACTTCGGTAGACAGGTGCCATCGGTAGACAGGTGACTTCGGTAGACAGGTGACGTTCAGTAGACATTTGACATCGGTAGACAGGCGGCTTCGGTAGACAGGCGACTTCGGTATACAGGCGACTTCGGTAGACAGGTGACATCGGTAGACAGGTGACATCGGTGGACAGGTGACTTCGGTAGACAGGTGACTTCTATAGACAGGTGACTTTGTGTAGCCAGGCGAATTCTATAGACAGGTGACTTCTATAGACAGGTGACTTCTATAGACAGGTGAATACTTTAGACAGGTGAATACTTTAGACAGTTACATTCTATAGACAGGTGAATACTTTAGACAGTTACATTCTATAGACAGCTTCAGATGGGTTGGACTCTTTTTAGTGGATGACTTTATTGGTTTGAATAAAAAAGAGGGAGAACGATTTCTTTATGTTTTAAATATTTTCATACCCCCATTTTCCAGGTTTATATTATGATGGAGTATGCAGGCCACGGGGATCTTTTAGAATACATCAAACTCCGCGGAGCAGTGCCAGAAGATCGTGCCCAGACCATGTTCAAACAAATTGTCTACGCCGTGGCCTATCTCCACGGACAGAAAATAGTCCACAGGTAATTGCTGCACGTGTGATAATCGTTATTATCAGAGGGCTGATTATTTCCTGTTCACATGAAAGTGAATGCAAATCAAATGTGATTTTTGTCGCCCTATTCTACTGTTCCGAAGCCGTGTTTGTGTGCGTTAGGGCGAACTTTGTTTTCGCAAAAATGATCTTTATTTCTCTCGACACAAACTACTTGAAATGTATGGACATACGTAATTCGGTAAGATGTCGATTCGACCTCCGAAGTTGATACATAGGAAATTTACATTCTTAATTCAATGCTAAAAGTACAAAAATATCTAGTTCAGCTGAACTGCAAAATGTACATTTCTTCTGCTACAATATACCTAACCTGCATCTATTTTTTCCGTTTTCTTTTTGCAGAGATATGAAATGTGAAAATCTCCTTCTGGATTGTATGAACAACATTAAAATATCCGATTTTGGATTTGCTCGTTACTTCGAACCTAGCGACGTCAGCAAGACATTTTGCGGAAGCGCAGCATACGCAGCTCCGGAAGTTCTTCAGGGAATTCCCTATCACCTACCGTCTCACGACATCTGGAGCATGGGGGTCATTCTGTATATCATGGTGAGGCAGTTTTCTGTAACTTCCGTCATATTATTATTTCAGTACACACACCATTGAAGTATTCGCGGCCAATGTATGATATTCTGTTTTTTACTGCAGTGCCGTTATGAGTATATTATGAGGAGTTCTTTTTACACAATCAATGGAATCTTGTATGTGACGTTTCGATGACCTGTACGATGTGTACACTGTCACCTTCATCAGACAAATGGCCAGTGAAGCGTATGCGCACAAAGGTGTAAAATGTGTACGAGTTGTCCATAAAGTCGATGACAATTTCGGCTACGCTGTAAGCGTATGTAAAATAGCTGTTATATATGTATCGAAATGACTCCATTCAGCTTCGCTTTGTTTAATACTTGGTCATAGATGTGCGAGAGTATTTGAGCCCCCTCGTCTCGATTTAGAACTGGCCCACTGCGGCTTATCCAGATGGCTTCCTTTATCTGCCGATTGAACACATTGCTCTCTCTGTCCAAAACTTTGGAGTTATCCCAGTCAATCACATGGGTTTTCTGTGTGGCATGGTCTGTGCTTTCCGATTTATTTATCTGGGACTTCGACTGCTTCCTTTCTGATCAGGTGATTTTTTTACCATCTTGGGTTTCTGTGTCTTTCCGGTGATCACCAAGGCGGACCCCAAAACGCTTTGCGACGTTTTCTTTAGGTGTTTTATCCTTAGGGTGTACTAGGATATTGCGAAGCGTCTTGTGGGGCTTCATGGCTGTTGCTATGTCATGACCGCCATATATCCTCTGGATGGTTTCGGATATATCCTTTATATACGGGATGACCACTTGACCTTTGGTTTTGTTCTTATCCTTCATTGGCATTTTCTTGCTCTTCCCCTTACTTTGACACTGTGTTTGTACCCGTTTTAGGGCCCATTCCGGATATGCACAATTCTCATTGTCCTAGCGATGTGATTCTGCTCTTGTGTTTTGTCCTGTTGTTCTGTGACTATTGTATCACAGCTGTTGAGCAATGTACGTATGACGCCGAATTTCTGGTGCAAAGGATGGTGAGATTTGAAGTTCGGGTAATGGTTCGCATGGGTCTTTTTTCTATAGACCAATACCTTCACGGTTCCGTCCTCTTTATCTACCATTAGAGTGTCTAGGAAGGACATTGTGCCGTTGGTTTCTTCCTCACATTTAAATTTGTGAATCACTAAGTATATTTTAGATGGCGAGGTGACCAAATTACGTATCAATCTGCCAAAAATTCCAATTATTTAACAGCTGGTTCGTAAGTATGTTTACAGTGACCTTTTTCATTTTGTTTACTGCCTTGAACAGGTATGCGCCTCTATGCCCTATGACGACTCAAATATCAAGAAGATGGTCAACCAACAACTTGAAAAGAAAATTGGGTTCTCCAGAGGCAAAAAGTTGTCCCTGGATGTGAAGGACCTCGTCATCAGACTGTTGGAGGTTAACGTCAAGAAGCGACCGAATGTTGCCGCAATCAAAAATCACCCATTCGTGTTGAACGCTGCTGCGCAGAACGGCGAATGTGACCAGAACCAGCAAGCATCCAGTAGCTCCGACAGACCTGTTTGTAGAAAGGACAACTCGTTTGGCTCGTCTCTCAAGATAGACCTCACCGACAAGGTCCGCCTCAAGGAGCGGTAGCCAGCTTTAATCTGTTATACTTTCTACGAGAATATCAATTTATTTGTCGTCAAGTTAATTTAATAATAATATACATAATTCACCAATTAGATACTCATTTATATTTTAATAAATTTGACTGAAATATTTTGTTCGTTATTATAATATATCACAGAAAACTCTTGGATGGAGAACACTTTTATACTGTAAAAAAGAAAATAATGCAATGTTAATCAACTGATTATACCATAAAACGACACATTACAACACAGCTCAAATGTGATCAACTAAATACACAAATAACGACTGCCGGGGTTCGATTTCCCGATCTCTACATCCCTAGAATATGTCATGACAAAATCAAGGGTACGCGGCTAGCTACGTATTTGATTGGTTTCATGTATAAAAAAAACCACAATCGCTAGATTTATATCTCTCTTATGAAGATTAAAGGGGAGCGACACATGACTTCAAAGCCGGTCAAAATAATCGTGTCCTTACTGCGCGATTCTTTTTTTCTGTTTGTCAAGAGGATCAAACTAGTATCATCCACAAGGTGGTGTTTACAGAGCCTCCGATTTTGAGTGAGCGTAACTCCTGGAATAACATACATTTCTATACATATGTATATCTCCTCTGCACCCCGGTATGCACCCAGCACACATACACACATGCATGTATGGATTACACACATGGGTGCAGTTGTGACAGGGAAGAAGATAACAGAACGTATCACCGAGTACATCTTCCTCGATTTACAGGAAATGTTGATCACTCATCCTTATGTTCACTAATGCTACACAAGTCTCTAAAGTTCTCCCCAGTGTAGACGGAATTACCATCAACAGTTCACAGTGATCGTCAATACCAGAAGGCGTTATGACAAGGTCTTGTTTCATCAGAATGTTTCAATTAATTACAAGTGTCTTCTTTTACAAGTTTAATACAAGTCTAGCTTAAATTGGATCATTTTTGTCACATGACAATAAATCGATTAATTTTAACAACTTCAAGCATTACAATATGCATATTCTACCAAGTGTTCGATGTAACAACACCTTTCATTGGCTAATAACCATGGATCATGTCACTTATTTCCCAACAGACTAACGCTCTTCCAGATACCTCTCCCGCAAATGTAAACGAGCGAGCTGCGGGGACTGCTTTGCTTTGTCAAATGAGGGTATAGGCATTTCATTTTATTTTCCCTATCTTTTTCTCAACCTTGTTTTATATTACACTATAATACAAGCACATATATTGACTATTTCTAAAACAAAGACCGACTAGAACGTCCACTATATTTCGTTATCTATATATGGGGGAATTTCTGCGATACCTACTCAATCATGCATTTAAAACTTGAGTTGTTCCTCTGTAACAGAAGGCCGGCTGTCCAATGATTTCTCACTTGAACTCTACGTAGTCGTTACTTGGTGGTGATCCGAATTGGTTCCAATTTTTTGTGTGATCCGAATAGGCTCTGGGAGGCACGGTAGTCTAGTGGTAGGACGCCGGGCTCGTGACCGAAGGGTTGCGTGTTCGAGTCACGGCACGATACTGTGTTGTATCTTTGAGCAAGATACTTTACTCCGCTTGTTCCAGTCTACTCAGCTGTAAATGAGTACGTAGTTAACCAGCGCTAGAACTGTTGAATGCTAGCTGTTAGCGCCAAAATGGCAGCACTGGCTGTATGCTCCCCAGGGAGTTGAGAAAGATATTGGCTGGTTGCAAAGGCCATATAACCATGGATAATAATTTGTGAACCGCTTTGAGACGACCTACGAACTAGATTGTGATGAAGCGGTATATAAGAACCTCGAATTACTCTTATTATGATTTATTTGCTGTTGTTATTCGAATAAGCTTATTTTTCTTTTGGGACCCAAACAATAATTGATTTTGACGGACACGTGCCAAATATAGGAAAGTTATTCCTATCGTGCTAGTAATTGTCGTGGCTGTACGTTAAGTTCTCCGCGTCTTTAAGTCTTTACTATCAGCAGCAGAAATTTCATGTTTGAACTAAAAGAAAATATTTCACCTACATTGGCTGGCCAATAAACGCCGTTACATCAAACAACGCACCAACACTAAATAGCGCAGCCGTACAAATTTGTCACATAAATACAAATTAATAGTTAAGTCGTCAGGCAGTCGCAGTACAGAAAATTTATGGTGCAAACTTTCTGCTTAACACTGTCTACTGTCGCAAAAATACGAATGTCGTAATTATTACACTGGTAAAAGGCTAGCCGCCTCCTACCAATTTGGAAAATACCCCATTAGCTCAAAGAGAGGTCCTGTGCTCGATCCCTTACGCAAGCACTTAGAAAAAAACTAATTTCCTCTGTTACATTGGGCCCAAGCAGGGACCCCGGAACTATTGACAAAATCTTAGTCTTGCTCTTAACCATCTCTGTCTTAATGAACAGCGATATCACAGACATATCATACAACGCTGCCTTAATGAACAGCGATATCACAGACATATCATACAACGCTGCCTAAATGAACAGCGATATCACAGACATATCATACATCGCTGCCTAAATGAACAGCAATATCACAGACATATCACACGACGCTGCCTTAATGAACAGCGATATCACAGATATATCATACAACGCTGCCTTAATGAACAGCGATATCACAGATATATCATACAACGCTGCCTTAATGAGCAGCAATATCACAGACATATCATACAACGCTGCTTAACTGAACAGCAATATCACAGACATATCATACAACGCTGCTTTAATGAACAGCAATATCACAGACATATCATACAACGCTGCCTAAATGAACAGCGATATCACAGACATATCATACAACGCTGCCTTAATGACCAGCAATATCACAGACATATCATACAACGCTGCCTAAATGAACAGCGATATCACAGACATATCATACAACGCTGCCTTAAGGAACAGCGATATCACAGACATATCATACAACACTGCCTTAATTAACAGCAAATCACAGACATATCATAAAACGCTGCCTTAATGAACAGTATTATCACAGACATATCATACAACGCTACCTTAATGAACAGTAATATCACAGACATATCATACAACACTGCCTTAATTAACAGCAAATCACAGACATATCATAAAACGCTGCCTTAATGAACAGTAATATCCCAGACATATCATACAACGCTACCTTAATGAACAGTAATATCACAGACATATCATACAACACTGCCTTAATTAACAGCAAATCACAGACATATCATCAAACGCTGCCTTAATGAACAGTAATATCACAGACATATCACACAACGCTACCTTAATGAACAGCTATATCACAGACATATAATAAAACGCTACCTTAATGAACAGCGATATCACAGGCATATCATACAACGCTGCCTTAATGAGCAGCAATATAACAGACATATCATACAACGCTGCTTTAATGAACAGCAAATCACAGACATATCATACAACGCTGCCTTAATGACCAGCAATATCACAGACATATCATACAACGCTGCCTTAATGAACAGCGATATCACAGACATATCATACAACGCTGCTTTAATTAACAGCAATATCACAGACATATCATACAACGCTGCTTAACTGAACAGCGATATCACAGACATATCATACAACGCTGCTTTAATTAACAGCAATATCACAGACATATCATACAACACTGCCTTAATTAACAGCAAATCACAGACATATCATAAAACGCTGCCTTAATGAACAGTAATATCACAGACATATCATACAACGCTACCTTAATGAACAGCTATATCACAGACATATAATAAAACGCTACCTTAATGAACAGCGATATCACAGGCATATCATACAACGCTGCCTTAATGAGCAGCAATATCACAGACATATTATACAACGCTGCTTTAATGAACAGAAATATCACAGACATATCATACAACGCTGCCTTAATGAGCAGCAATATATCACAGACATATCATGCAACGCTGCCTTAATGAGCAGCAATATCACAGACATATTATACAACGCTGCTTTAATGAACAGAGATATCACAGACATATCAAACAACGCTGCCTTAATGAACAGCAATATCACAGACATATCATACAACGCTGCTTTAATGAACAGCAAATCACAGACATATCATACAACGCTGCTTTAACGAACAGCGATATCACAGACATATAATACAACGCTTCCTTAATGAACAGCAATATCTCAGACATATCATACAACGCTGCCTTAATGAACAGTAATGCCACAGACATATCATACAACGCTGCTTTAATGAACAGCGACATCACAGACATATAATACAACGCTACCTTAATGAACAGCGATATCACAGACATATCATACAACGCTGCCTTAATGAGCAGCAATATATCACATACATATCATGCAACGCTGCCTTAATGAGCAGCAATATCACAGACATATCATACAACGCTGCCATAATGAACAGCGATATCACAGACATATCATACAACGCTGCCTTAATGAGCAGCAATATATCACATACATATCATGCAACGCTGCCTTAATGAGCAGCAATATCAGAGACATATTATACAACGCTGCTTTAATGAACAGAGATATCACAGACATATAATACAACGCTACCTTAATGGACAGCAATATCACAGACATATCATACAACGCTGCCATAATGAACAGCGATATCACAGACATATCATACAACGCTGCCTTAATGAGCAGCAATATATCACATACATATCATGCAACGCTGCCTTAATGAGCAGCAATATCAGAGACATATTATACAACGCTGCTTTAATGAACAGAAATATCACAGACATATCATACAACGCTGCTTTAATGAACAGCGATATCACAGACGTATAATACAACGCTACCTTAATGAACAGCAATACCACAGACATATCATACAACGCTGCTTTAATGAACAGCAAATCACAGACATATCATACAACGCTGCTTTAACGAACAGCGATATCACAGACATATAATACAACGCTACCTAAATGAACAGCAATATCACAGACATATCATACAACACTGCCTTAATTAACAGCTATATCACAGACATATCATACAAAGCTACCTTAATGAACAGCGATATCACAGGCATATCATACAACGCTGC